CTCTATGCAGGAGGGAGCCCTCTGCTCACTGACACCCAACCTACACTAGAGTACTTCTGTGTATTTTTTAGTACATTTTTGGAAAGCACCAGGATTCCTTGTTAATGTTGGTAGACTTACCCACCAGACAGCCCTCTGCAGGAAGTGCCAATAAACGAAAGAGATGCTTCTCTTAAGGTCACATCCATGCCCCTTCCTAGGCAGTTCATATTCAAGAGTCTGGCTCCGTCTGCCACCTTCAAAGCTCATAGAGACTCTGCAAGGGCCTCCCAAGGGTCTCAATCCTTACTGAACATCCTGAGTGGAGCTCTCCACCTTTATGTCTATTTCTAGGAAACCTAACCTATGACATCAGTGCCACATGAAATATTCACTTACTACTCTCTGATCATGATCATGAATCTCACAGACATTATTCAGCAGTAATATAAAGATAAGGCCACAACTCAAAATATGCTACTTTATGGCACTTTTTTTTGGTGTCACTTTCCACCACCCCCATCCCTATCACACCGTAACTCCTATTTCTAGAGGTGGCAGACCATGATAACTCCCTAAAGACATCTACATTCTTTTTTTTTTTTTGTCTTTTTCCTTTTTATTGGTACTGGGGATCAAACTCAAAACTGCTTGCTTGCAAGGCAAGCGCTTATGCCGCTGAGCTAAATCCCCAGCTCCAACATCTACATTCTAATTGGCAAATCTGTGAATACGTGATTACATAGCACAGAGGAATTAAGATTGCGGATGGAATTAAGATGATAATCAAATGATCTTAACATAGGGAGATTACACTGTCTATAATGGGCTCAGTGTAATCATGAGGATCGTTAGACATGAAAGAGGGACTTTAGAAGAGAACCAGAGAGAAAACTGTGACAAATACTGAACTCATCACTGCTGGCTTTGAAGATGAAAGAAGAGACCATAAGCAAGGGTTATAGGCAGCCTCCTGAAGCTAGAAAAGGTAAGAAATGAGTTCTTCCCTTCAGCTTCCAGGTAGAAATACAAACTTACCAACGCCTTGGCTTTTGGCCTGAAAACCGTGTTGGATTTCTCAGCCAGGAAACTGTAAAAGAATAAATTTATATAGTTTTAAGCCATTAAATTTTTGGTAATTTGTTATAGCAACAATAGGAAACTAATACTCTAGGCAGCTCCGCTTCCTTCCCTACTTAAGTGGGAGACTTCAGCAGGAACCAACAGAGAAAGAAATCTGTATGATTTCTCACAACATGAGTTACCCTCCTATCTCTTGCTACTATCTAACAAGAAAAGCTCCAGTGTGTCTTCATAATCTACTTTTCTGGAATGAAATAATAAAAAAAAATCTGAGAATTTTAGCAATGAAGGAAAGTATAGAGTGCATCTCTGTCCGTGATTTTCAGGCTTTCTTTTCACAAGGGAAAAAATTCTTTTAAATACAGAATGAATCACGGACATCTAAGGCTAACAAAAGTAGAGCTGTCCAGTGGACCCCAAGGTCCACTGATTTCCACCTCACCTGAAGAGCTCCAGCTTTGAAAACAAAGTATGAAAACCACAAACGTAAGTCCCAGAGACTCTGATTGGAGAAGCAAAGCAAAACTCAGAACTCAGGTCACCAGCCTTAGTCTGGAGCCTAATGTAGACAGGTTTTCACCAGCCATGCAGTTTATGCAGCATTGCAGAACTGCTGTGAAAGCCCTGAAGGCAAATCTACCTTTATTTACATATTTTCAGTGTATGTTTCATTGCATTATGTACCTGATCTTCACACCCATAGGTACTCTCACTGTAGATAGAGTAGGCAACTCACTTAGATGGTGTGGTTGTCAACAGAAACCTCGTCTGACTCTAAGCTTCTCTACCCACCAAGAAACCTGGCCCTCCCCCACTGCAGTCACTAAAACCATGCCTCCAGAAGCTACCTGCAAAATTCAAATAATTTCATTAATTCTTAGGCTCACATTGTATTATATTTAAACATCTTTAAAACTAGGCCCCACCAACATCTCTGGATTCTTGCAATTATAATTGCTTTTTTGGAGACATAAATGAATGTAATACAATCACTGAAATCTTAGAAATATGGTATGTGATTTGGGAGGATGAACTATAAATGAAACTTTGGCATCATTAGAGGCTGAAGTAGAAATCAGAGTCCACAAAGAAAGGAAAATCATAGAATAGAATTTAGTTAAGAGCAAGGAAAATAGGAAAGGCTTTGTGTGTAGACAGGAGTGGGTGTATAGGTGTGTACATTAGATGTGCATCTTTGTGTGCAAGGTAGAGTCTCCACACATCCTTCAAACTTCAGCCCTCAGCCTTCATGTTGAAGATTGTACCTTCAACATGAAGGATATAAGTAGTCAGGAACAAGCACAAGAGAAAAGAGGATATGGGAGAAGTTTTCAAGGGCTATGCTAAGCTATATCTAGCATAAAATATATAATAAATTAGGATCCTCATTTGTTTTTGGAAGCAAATGAGATTTCATAGATAAGTATATATTACAGTGATATTCCTTATTTCAGAGTCATCAGTTAACTAGGTAAATATAAAATTTCAACCATTAATGTTACTCCTTCATTCTACAAAATGGGTGTACTTACCATTTCTGGGTGCTGATTAAAGAGGAAATGACAGCTAAGGTGACTAATGAGTAACAGCTGGTCAACTGGATTTCTGTCTGTGCTTACAGTCCATTTGGTTAAGTGAAGTATTAATTAATTTATCCATAGTTTCAATCAAAGGCCAACAGTCCAGACACATTTGTCAATCCTGAGTTGACATTTAAAGCCTAAAAAATAAAAATATGCTTATGAAATACAGACATGCTTTCATTAACTAATCATTAAGACAGAAGTTTATTACTCAAACAATTTTGTTCAGGAACAGAAGGAGAAAATAAAACTGCAGTCCAAGGACTTGTTATTTTGTCTTCCCTGCTACAAAAAATCAGCTATCACTTGGTGTCCAGCCAAGGCCATGAAATGTCCCACTTTGGTTGCCTTTCATTATAAATTTGGAGACGTGCTTCTCTGGAAAACAAATTAGCACTAGTGCATAATAAAATTCTGCAAAAAGACAACAGATCCTTACAAATCCCACGGAGGAAAAAACAATTTTCTGCTAAAATATTCATCATGTTACTCTCTCAAGTTCACCAACTGGGATGCAGAGGGTTGGAATATTTTTGTATTTGGCAGACAAATGTAAAGGTCTAAAGAAGAAATCTCACCAATGGCTTAGCTGAACAGAGCAAAATGAACTGAAGATCTCTCGGCTTTGACAACTCCTTCTCCAGGCCTTACAGAACTTCCAATGGCCAAACAAACCTGCTTCCAGGGCATTTGATGGAAACTGCTGCCTCTTAGCAATAGGCAGTCTGATCTGAGGGAAAGCACAGGAAGAAACAGAGATACAAGAGTGACCACCAATACAACCTGAGCTATCGAATGGATAAAGAGAGTTGAAATCTTACAAACAGGCACTGGCTATGAAATCAGATTAATTAGGTTAAGACTAGTTAATGGCGAAGTCCTGCATGCTGAGTTCTGGAGAACACAGCAGACCCGATTAGGAAAATACTGCATAATTTCAGCAGACATCTCCTGAGGACATGGAACACTAGGGAGGATACAGATTGGCATCGTGTAGCATTCCTGCCCTCCAGGAGCCCACACTCATGGGAGAGACAGAATGCCCACATTAGACTCAGTGGGTGGTCTGTCACTCATCACTAAGGGTAACAGAGTGCAGAAGGAATCGAAGGAAGGAGAGACACATTCTAACACTGAACAGAGATGTAGGAATACGTGTAATTGGAGGGAAGTGTATTTGGCCCAGATCTTGAAGGGAAAGTTAACTTTTAACACACAATGATAAAAAGTGGGCATTCAAGGCAAAAGGCACAGTGAGAACAGCAGATGAAGGCAGGAAGATACCAAGGTGTGGGGGAAGAGTGAGTTCTTGGAATGATGGTGCTAGAAAAAGAGGCTGGGGCTGGACAGCACTGGGCATCCGGATGTCCTGTGGGACTGAAGAGCCTGCAAGAGAAGGAACAGGATTACCTTACCAGGTCATGTCATCTGTTTTTGTCACCAGTGCCACCCTTGAGAGACCATGAAGAGGGAGAGCAGGTGGCTACTGCACTCTGGTTTTCTCCCACTTACAAGAATCACCGCCCTGTGCATATTCTGGCCTCATTAGCTTTGCTCTAGTCTGTCAGTCAGCGCAGTAAGCGCACCTGGGTCACCAGCCACAGGGTGTGATAAGGACCGAGCCCAGCCAGCTGTGCAGGCTTCCTGTGGTGCTCCTAGAGCGCTGGAGTTGGCTCTGCAGAAGTAGAACTTCACTGGTCCCTGTACTATGATCAAGTTTAACCCATTTTCATCACCTCAAAACAAAATCCTGTTCTTTGCTACCACCTTTTCAAACCAAGGCAACCAGGAATCTACTTTCTGTCCCTAGAAATCTTACAGATTTGCCTATTTTGGCTCTGCCACTATACAAGTGGAATCCAACAATGAGACCTTCTGGGTCTAACTTCTTAGGATGTTTTCAAGGTTCATTCATGCTATAGGATGTATCAATATTGTATTTCTCTTTTATGACTAATAGTTCATTATAGATTTACATATTTTATTTTATTTATACATTTATCTGTTACCCACTTCTTGGCCACTATAAATAATGCTGCTATGGGTACTTGTGTATAAATTTATGTGGACCTATGCTAGCACCTAATGAATATTTGTTAGATGAATGAATGAATAAAAGATCTCATTTTCTTAGAAGGTTTTTTTAGGGGATTGTTACAAAATGCACCAACTAAAGACTATTGACAGTCAGACCTCGCCACTGTCCTCTTCATGGTTAATGTGTGTACCAATGAGCCTGGGATCTGTCAGATAACTTGTCCCACTCTTCCTGTGAAGTTGAGGGAGCAGGGGTGAATGGCATACAGTGTGTGCCTGCCGAGTCACTCAGGAAGACAGAGTTTTGCTGAGTCACCCCCTTCCTAAGATCAGTGAAGGGTCCACAAACTGGCTGACTCATCCCCCGGAAGAGAGAGCAGCTTAGAGCAGGCAAGAGGGAGTTCACAAGGATGGCACCTCTGATCTGGGCTGTGGGATGAGGACATGAAGGGGCAGGGACTTCAGTCTCACGGACCCCACAAATTCAAGGACTGCTCCAGAGCACAAGGACCTGGGTATGTTGAAGGGAGGAGGGTGTTCGGTGACTGGCATTTCTATGCGTGCTAAGTAGTCCATGCAGCTGTTCACACCCACAGGTTATTTTTGATAATTGAGGGCCATACTAGGGTTTGGAATTCTTTTTTAGGGGAAGGGTGGCATTCTTACCAGATGTCAGGTGCCACAGTGAGGTCGCAGCCTCTCATGTGTGCCACTTCCACTGACCTGTCCTGCTCTGGTCTGCACTGGGCTGCTCAGCAGAACAACCCAAGTACAGAGAAAATTTTTGCAACTGGAATCCAAATATACCAAGGGCAGGTGGACTCCCAGCTGGTACTAGGCAGGGCCATACACTCCACAGGACCCCTGGGGCATGCCAGGCTGGTCAGTCCTCAGGTGGTCTGGCAGCATATGCTGTTATCTAGCGCACAGCTACCCTGGGTCCACTGTGCTAACCAGTCACAACAGGCAGCTAGGATTCTATGGGAGAAGCCCAAGGAAATTCCCTTTCCCACTCAGAGAAGGGGTCTGCCCACCTGCTTCTTTCCTCTGGTTGATCTATCTGGTTGATCCAGCCTTCTGGCCTGGCTGCCAGGTAGCTCTTGCCTCTCACCACTGTCGGGCCGTGTTAAAGCTTCCTCCTTCACTCATTCTCGTGCTTTGCTGGGCTCTTTTCTCGCAGTTAAACATACAGTCTTTAAGGAGAATATGTCTCCTTTCATAGCAGCTTTCCTGAATGTCTGGTACACAGACCCCAGAGCATCAATCAGCAACAGCATCTTCTCTGCCTCGTCAAAACGCGTGCATCTCTAATACTTATCCTACAGTGCGCTGGGGATTTAGCTTAGTAGCATAACACCTGCCTGGCAAGCACAAGGTCCTGAGTTTGACTCCTAGTACTAAAAAAAAAAAAGTGAATTTATCTAATACTTATCCCATAAGATAGTTCCTTACTCAGTGCCTGCATGGGTTATTCAATGTATAGAAAATATTTTATGCATAAATAATATTAACTGGGTTTTTAAATTTCAAAAATAGAATAGATTCGATGTAGAAAATAAAAAAGCATACAAAAAAGAATAAAAGCCACACATAACCTCAAAACTAGAAGTAACATAAAATATTGCTATTATTCTATTGGTTTTATATTTATATTTATTATTCTTTTCAAATTATGATCCTAATACACATGCTGTTTTCAAGCCTGCTACATCTTAAAACCTGCTATATTCTATATGAACTTACTGTTATTAAAATATTTTTTGTAATTTAAATGGCTATATGATATTTTCTCATATGGATTTTAACATATTTTATTTAATCAAAGTCCAATAATTCCTTGTATTGATTGCTTATAATTTTAAAATTTATAAATAATGCAATAATAAATGGTCAAATACAGGAATATCTTTGTGCATTTCAGAATATTTTCTTCGGATACAATCCTAAAAATGAAATCATGGAATAAGAAATTAGGAGTATTTGTAAAACTTCTTAGACTCACTCTTTGCCCCTTGGCAGAGTTGTAGCAATTTATTTTATTTTGTTTTGTTTTCGCAATTTATACATTACTGAATTTTCCTGCAACTCCCTGTAATATGTATCTTCTGATTAGCAGCCTCAAAATAAAGAGGACAAGGACCAGCAGGCCCACTGAGGCAAAAAAGCAGAGTAAGAAAAAGTAATAAATAAGCCCAATCTTAGGCGTACGGGAGAGCAGTGTGTTTGCAAAGAATACCTGTATTCATGAAGAACACCTTATATCATCTACCACTTCTACCCTGTCTGCACTCTCTGCTTCTGCAGGCAGGTATGCACCTGAGAAGGAGCTCCTTCCAAACACCACACCAGCAAGTGACCTTTTGGTAATTTGATGTCAGTCTCTAGGTTCAGATCCTACAAACCCCACAGAAACAGAATTGTCTGCCCTCATTCTGGAGTCAGTCTGAAAATCCCAAAGAACATGAAATGCTTCTTAATCAGATTCAAGATCAAGTATGTCAAAAGTACTTTGTAAGCCTCATGTGCTGACCTTGTTGCATTCTCCTGAAGGAGAATGTACAGTGTGTATGAGGAGATGTGATTCCCTAAAGACAATGGAAGGAGAGAGTGTGGCTGCCATTACCTCTTCTCTTATGTCCCAGCATCTGCTCATTGGGAATTTACTTCCATAATGAAAAGACTCAATACGAACTAGTTTCTGTAAGTCACTGGAAGAGAAAGGAGAGAACTTTTTCTATTTAAATTCTGGCTCTTGAAGTTTTACTCTAGAGATGACCAACTCAAGATTTGCCTTGATCTTTTGTATCATCAGGATTTACCAAATTCATCTCCTGTCACTTTCCTTTGCATTCGTGGTGGGCCTCTGAGGAGCCACTGGAAACAATAATGTCCAAGGTGAAATAGGGTGACATATTGGAAATTTCTTGGAAGAGCATAAAATGCTGTGCCATGGGAAGGACTAACTCTCCTTTATTGGTTCTATGTGGGACAGCCCAGGAAGACTCTGGAGCCAGACGAGCATGGTACTGAGTCATGGCCTTGTTCCTTATACGTGTACGACTTCGGGTATTGTACTGAATCCACCAGAGCCTCACTTTCTCATCTTCACAGCATCTTTTTTAGGTATTTGATGGCCTCCCTGCACTAGAAAGTAAGCCCCATGAAGGCAGATATATCTTCAATCCTGTTTGAGGAAGTTCCCAGGACAAAGAAGAGCACTTGTCTCCAAAACTGTTTGCCAAGTGAATGTGTGGCTCTGGCACTATTCTAGGACACCATTTCTAGGGATTCTGCTTTGTCCCATCTTGAGCAGGAGCAATTTGATGCCTGAATAAGTATGCCAAGCCAGGAGTGCCAGCGGAAATAGGAGGGAAAGAAAGCGGCACCGCTGGAGAAAAGAATTCTCTTACACGCATCCAGTATCACCTTCCTTTAGAATGTTGATTCATTCTCATTTTCAAAAAGAAAAAACCAAAATACAAAAGAAAAAAGAAAGAAAACAGTGAAAATATTGTGATTTTAATGTTTTATGCCCCTGCGGGCAATAATCACTGCTAAAGGGGACTGACTAATTTTGGATTGTAAGATATTTCTTAATGTTTAAGTGCATATATCCAATAAAAATAATTTTATACTCCCACCCAAAAAAGAAAGAAGGAACAAAAGTTTTAAAAGAATTGACAGACCCCAAAAGCCTTAAGGCTTTAAACTCAGCTTGATATGTGGACTCACATGCTAAAGGTATTTTCTTCTTCTTGCTTTCCCCATCTCTCCTCTGTCAGCAGCAGAAAGTTGGGGAAGGGTCTGGTGGGAAGGTGCCAGCCCTCCTCAGAGATATGTCATGGGTTTTTCACAGAAGCCAGCTCTCAGCAGGCTGGGGAGAGCTCAGGCCTGGTTGTGCTCTGCACCCACCCTCTAGCCGTGTATGCTGAATGAATGATGAAAGAGAGAAGCTGGCTTGAGAGAACAGGGAATGAATAGGTAGGGAGGGTCATTTGTGTGTGCAGTACCATTGGAAGCAGAGCCTCCTCCTTTCCCAGTTCTGCTAAGTCACTCATATTCAAGGTGAAGAGACTCAGGCAGTCTGCCAGAGAATCAACCCTGCTTGCAAATGGTGGTTTGGAACTACGAGGTGGCTGATAAAAGCTCAATATGTGGCCTGATATCTAAGAAATTCTAAAGTACTTTATTAAAATATGTGGGTGTGAATGAGTTTTAGCACAGTTGCTCTAACCTAGCGAGAAGCCCTCAATATGGCCTGCTTGGCCCTGAGTTAAGCAAACTTAGGAGTGAAGACCTAGCACATGTCTTACAGGATCTGCAGGAAAAGCTCTTGAGAGGAGGGTGGATCCTGGCAAAGCATGTTACATGGACTGCGAATTGAACACACGACCCTATACTTGCCAGGCAGGTGCTGTGCCACTGAGCTATATTCCTGGTCCCAATTATTATAATTCTTAAAAGGGCTATGAAAGCTATTCCTATACGAAATGAAAGGATGGGAATCTGATCTGAATAAAGATCTAGAATTAAAATGATGGCCCCCCTCCAATTTTTTCAATTAAAAAAAATTAAGCCCCTTGTTTAAAATCCTGCCACATTCATACACCTGCCTTTATAAGGCGGGAGTGGGAGCACTTGCTGTGCAGGGATTCCTGTGACTAATTGGCTACGTTGCTGCACCTACTCTGTTAATCACTGGAGAGGTAGGGTGGGGGCAAGGAAGGGTTGTGTACAAGACCAAGGGAATTAGCTTAGCTGCAGGACGGTCTCCAAGGCATGCAATCTACAGTGTAGCCTCCCTCCCACTTGCTAGGTACGTGGAGGACACTACATGAGTAATACGCTGATTGTAGCTCCTACCAGATAATTGTTCCTACTCCATAAAGACGTGATGAGGATTAGACAAAACAATAAAGGAGAAACATATTGGTGTCTGGTACACAACAAATAATAAATATTAGTCATTGCTATCATTTCTTTTCTTTGTTTTTATTTTTATTTTATTTTATTTTATTTTATTTTATTTTATTTTTTGGTACTAGGGATCAAACTCATGACCTCACACTTCCCAGGTAGGCGCTTATGCCTCTGAGCTAAATCCCTGGCCCTGATGGCTATCATTTTCATGTCCTTTATTATGAATTTCCATGATGTAAGTTTCCATTTATATGAGGTATTTTTCTGTTCAGTTTATTTTCTTCAGCTATATTCTCAAACATGAAATTCTCAAATTAAAAGGTATAAATGCACTTAGATTTTTCCAAATTGCCAAGTTACTTTCCTAAGTAATTATAACAACATAAATCATGACAATTACGAACTCTGAGAATAATTTCCTGTTGGTTTTTACAATGACTGGACTGGTTCTTAGAGGTGATCTTTCTATAAATACGTATTCAGAGAAGGAGTGGGGTGGGTATAGCCAAGTGCAAGGAAGGGTCAAGTAACTCAGTTAGAACAAACCCTGAGACAGGAAAGCGTCAGTAAGGCTGGGAAGGACAAAGAAAATCCCATGTCTCAGGGTAGGAAGTGGGGGAGGTGTAAAATGCACATTCACTCACTAGGAATCTGCATATAAGCCAGGATAAGACAAAAAAATCTCTGTGGCCTGAATAGCCTGTGCTGAAATGAAGGATAGGCAGGCAGAAAAAGCTCGCAGAAGCCCAGGCAAGTGGCCTGGCACTTTGTGCACAGGAGGGGGAAAATGTGAGAGTGCCTAGGTCACACCTCCCTTAAAGTAATCAGGAGAAGAAATTGTTGGGAGACGTGGATTCAATACCTGATAAAGACCTCTGCCAGCTAGAACTAAATTATTTCTGTTGTACAGGGCACTCAGTTTGTGGGTATAGGGTGGGGGGGGGGCAGTCCTGGCAAACTATTACAAAGCTCTCCACAACCCGTCCCCTTCATGTCCTTGAGTGCATCCCTGATGACTCTCTTCCTTATTCACTCGTCTCAGCACAGCTGGCTTCCTCCTGTCTCACAGATTGACCAGATAAAACCCTACCCTGGGACTTGGCAGGCTGTCCCTCTGCTTGGGAACTTCTTCCCCTAGATCTGACTCCCTCCTGTCCCACTCACCTCCTCCAAGTCTTCACATGACATCACAGTCTTGAGAAGGCTTTTGCTGACTTTGTCGAACACAGAACCTTCCCTCACTCTAACTTTCCGATTCTTCTTGACCAGCTGGCTCATCCAGAAGTATCGTCATTGGATATGCTGTCTCTTCTTTGTCTTCCCCATTAGAAGTTACCTCCCATAATGTGAGAGACGTGGGGTCGTTTCTGCTCACTGATTTGTGTCAGTGTCAGTGTCACCTACCTAGTACAGTGTGACACATGGAAGGCACTCAGTAATTGACACACAAATGATTGATACTGTATTGCTGATGCATGGTGTGTGTGTGTGTGTGTGTGTGTGTGTGTGTGTGTGTGTGTATTGTGCTCTGTTGGTGATTACTACACGTCCACTTCATGCTATGCACTACTTGAAAGCTGATGGAAAGCCCTCACTAGCCCTATGGGATAGTAACTACATAGCCATATTTTATAATCAGTGAGCAAACTACAATGTAGAAATTAAGGACTTTGCTTACCTTATCTCTGTCACCAGGAATGTTAGAGCCCATAGTCACATCCTAGATTCTCTCATCCCAGTGTCACATGGCTACCTACTGGGCATTGGCAGGGACTCTATCTGGTAGAGGGTCTTTTGCACAATTGCCTAGGAAAAAAGTGGTGGGCCAAGGCAGCTTTTGTTCCACTGCTGAGGAAAATGCTTTCGGAGTGAGCAAACTGATCCATGGCTGGCCACTGTCCAGCCTTGGCTCCATGGTGATCAGCAGGAACCAGATCACCCTGGGCTTGCCACTTACACGTGTGCCTCAAAGGGCAGAGAAAGAGAAGACGGGAGAGGGCAGTAAATGAGGGCAGGGACAGACAGGCTATTGAAATTCTAGACTTATCAGGAGCCAACTGGGCCGAGAGGCCGTTGTTACTGGCTGTGCTCAGCGAGCACCCAGTGGGCAGCAATCCCACTGCCCGGTTCTTCTGGGGCGGGGGTTGAAGGGCAGACTGTAACTCTGTAGTTGTATTGTGATGTCTAAGGAGGAAACAAGAGCAGCTGATCCAGCCTGGGTCGGGAGTGCCCACGTGCGCACAGATCAGCCTTTGTGTCCTGGGCCCAGACAACAGGCCACATTCTTCCCCCACCTCGGTGATGTCCTTCACAGACATGTCCCCGGAGCACATTGTCAAAGGATGAAACAGCTATGGATCAGATGACATGGCATTCCCTCTGGTACCCACTCTGCCTGGCTTTTGCCTCCTCTCATCTTTGAGCAAAGCGGGTGGCTGACCCTAGCCCTGCTCCTGGGGTGTATAGGGATCCCTGGGCAGATGTGAGCCTTCGCAATCTCAAATATGAGAATTTCAGATCACAAGAGGAGGACAGGCCCTGGGAGTTAGTACAGTTCACACATTTTTCTGGAGGTGATGAATAGCGATAGAATTATCCCGGGGGCCCAGCAATCCCATCCCAAGGCAGTATCCTTTCTGGTGGGAGAGCTAAGCTGCCCCTAAGCCTGGCTGTTTCAGCAGCCCCAACACAGTATCTAGATCACCCTTGAGAGAAACCTGGGGAGATGGATTCTGCATGGAGGTACAACTAACTCTCACTGGTGCATTCCCAGTTTCATCTGGCTAGTTACCAAAGCAAATGGTTTTACTTGCCCAAGCTGAATGTAGTGGACAGGATGCTCCCAAGAGGTCACTTGATGTCACACTAAGCCACACTGGGAGGACTAGGGGATCTATTACTTAAGTGCATCCTTCCTCAGATGTGGAAACAGCATCCCGTGAACACTTAAAATGACAGGCTTCCCAGGTTTGTGCTCTCAGAGTGGGAAGACCTGCTTCTCCCACACACAAGAACTGTCGGTCACAAGATCTTGAAAGGCAATCGATCCCCAGTAACTCTTCAAGGTCTCACCATAGGATGCAGTTTATGATCCCTGCCTTTCATCTCTCAGTGACTGCTCTGAAGGTTGTTAAATAAAACATGCAAAATGCAGTGGCAGTGATTACGATGACTGCAGTCATTCCTACCACTGCTAATACTGCTGCTGCCACCAGCACCAGTGTCAACAACCAAGCTGCTGCTAGATGGACAAAGAGTATTTCACTAATTTCTAGTATCTTCAAATGGAAAGATCCTTTATGCTTTATTCTTGTTATGTGCACCCAAAACATGGAATAAATTTTAGTTGGTTTCCTTGGTTCAAAACATACATAACAGCATAAAGTTAACTTTTCAATATATTACTTATAGTATTGTATTGATCACAATAGTGTTTAAATGCATTTAAAAATACTCGTACAACTAGAATATATTTTCTTTTCTATAAAATATGCTAGGGACATTTATATATTTGCAGATCTCCTACTATAACTCTAAGACCTTTCATTTAAAATTTAAGACTCCAAACAACCCCATAAAGTCATCAGTAGGCTCATTTGACAGATGCAAACAATGAAGATTGATAAGTTACCTGCCTTGTAAATGATGAAGCCAAGATAAAATAACAAACCTTCTTATTCCAAATTTTGTGGCCTTCAATGCACCTTGCTGGTTGTCTTCTAAACCTATCAAGAGACAGGCAATTTAAACTGCTGTTTGGTTGGTATTTTCTAACATCCAACTCTAAAAAATAAGTGAGATTCATTTGTTATCGGTAATCTCTTTATTTTATTTTAAATGTTATATATTATAACTGCCTCTATTTTTAGTGTAGACATCAATAGATTTTAATGTATGTATAGATGCACATAATTATTTTCACAAGAAAAACATAGAATAACTCCATCATTCCAGATAAATTCTCCAGACTGTACATGTTTGTAATCACACCTACCAACTCCTAATCCCTGAGTCTGTGTTTCATCTCCATGATGATTTTTAACAGAATGTCCTGTAAATGGATTCAATATGTGATTTTTTTTACCTTAAACTTGTATTTGGAGATAATATGTTTTCATGAATTGATAGAGAATGAGATAGAGATTCCATGTACTCACTACCCAATTTTCCCTAGTGGTAGTATCTTGCAGAGCTACTGAATCAAGAAGAGAACATTTCTAATAGCACAAGGATCCTTCGTGTTGCCCGTTTACACCCATACTCCCTTCCATCCCACCTCATTGACTCCTTAATTCCTGGAAACCACTAATCTATTCTCCATTCCTAAATTTTGTCATTGCAGTAATGTTGTATTTAAGGATTATAGTGTATATAACTTTTGCGATTGCCTTTTTTCACTGAGCATGATTCTCTGCAAATACATCCAGGTTACTGTATGTGTTCACTGGGCATCCTTTCCTACTGTTGAGATGGCAGGAGTATAACACAGTTTATTTAACTTGTTTCCAGGTTTCAGTTATTATCATCAGAGCTTCTATAACCATTATAATATTTCTCATTTTTCTAGTATAAGTTCCCAGGCGTGTAATTGCTATGTTATATATTATTTGCATGTTTAGTTTTTCAAGAAACTGCCAAATTATTTTTAGAGTAGCTGTAACATCTTAGAATCCCACTAATAATATCTGAATATCCAAATTCTTCATATCTTCATATTCTTCATTTGGTGGTGTCATTTTTTAAAAAGTTGTTCTGGTATTGGATGGCAATATTTCACTGTGTTTTTTATGTTCCTGATTCCAGTGGCTGATGATATTCTATTCAACATTTTATGCTATTTTTACCACCTTTATATCTTCTTTAGTGAAACATCTATTCATATCTTGTCCATGTCTGATTGGATTATTGCTTTCTTCCTGTTGAGTTCTGACAGATCTTTTTATATTCTAGGTACTAGTTCATTGTTGGAGGCATAACCTGCAAGTATTTTCTGTCTTTTTATCCTCTGAATAGGGGGATTTTGCACAGCAAACTTTTACATTTTTATTAAGTTCTATGTATCAGTTTTTCCTTTTATGCATCATACTTTCAGTATCAAGTCTAAAACCTCCTTGCCTAGCACTATATATCAAAGATTTTTCTCTGTTTTTTGGTAAAAGTTTTGTATTTTATACTTTACATGTCTGAGAACCATTATGAGTTTTTGTTTGGTGTGTGTGTGTGTGTGTGTGTGTGTGTGTGTGTGTGTGTGTGTGTTTGAGACAGGGTCTTGTTATGTAGTTTAGGTTGGTCTTAAACTCACTATGTCACTACGTAGTCCCGGCTAATCTGGAGCTCACAATGATCCTCCTGTCTCAGCCCCCTGCATGCTGGGATTACAGACATGTACCAATGCATTTGATCTATTTGGAGTTAATTTTTGCATGAAACATGATACTAGTGCCCAAGTTAATTAGTTTGCTTGTTTATTTTACCTATACATGTCCACCTGTGCCAGCGTCACTGGTTGAAAAGACTGTACTTTGTGTGTTGAACTTCCCTTACACCATGTGCTAGAAATCAGCTGGGTATGACTTATCCAGACTGGCAAAGTTAGAGACGGAAAGTAGAATAGTGTGACAGCGTGGATTTTGGGAGAAAAGGAGGTTAGCAATTTTTAGGAGGCTAATAAAAATCTACAATAATTGCAGTATGACTCTGCAAGTATACCAAAAACTACTGAATTGTACACTCTAAGTAAGAGAATTGTGCAGTGTGTGAACCACTTCCCAGTATAGTTGCTACTAACAGAAATCAGTTTGGCATGTGTGTGCAGGTCTATTTCTGAGTTCTTTGTTCTGTTCCAATGGGCTATGTGTTTCTTCCTCTACCTATACTATACAGTATCTATCATTTCAGTAAATCTACAGTTTGATTACTTTTTACTTTATTTTTCTTTTCAATACGTGGGTTTCTCTTCAGTATGAATCTGCAAAATTATTTTCATTAGTTCAGTTCATTTCCCTTTCCACATTGATTATATTATTTATTTATTCTGATTTTTTTGAGATAGGGTTCCACCATGCAATTCAGGCTGACCTTGAACTTGCAGCAATCCTCCTGCCTCAGCCTTACAAGTGCTTGGATTACGGGCATGTACACCACACCTGGATCCCACATGGATTTTAGAATAACTATGCTCATATCTGGAAAAATTCTTATATTATATTATTTAATATAATAAATTAATTTATTATATTAATTTATATGAATTTGGAGAAAAGTGACCTCTTTATTCTATTGAATCTGTCACTTCATGAACAAGGTATGTTTTTGCATTTACTTAGATTTTGTGTGATTTCTTTCGTCAGTATAATATTTTCTGAATACAAGCTCTAAAATATGTTTTGTTAAATTTACACCTAAGTATTTTTCTTCTTTAAGGAATTATAAATAGCATTATATTTCTAATTTCAGTGTCAAAGTTATCACTAGTATATAGAAGCCTAATTCAGTTTTGTATTTTTACTCTATAGCCTTTCTGAACTCATTTATTAATTTTGGATGTGTTTTGTTTCTATATTTGAAGTTCTATGTAGAAAACCATATCATCTAAAAATACAGACCATTTTTGATCTGCATACTTTTATTTGCCTGATTAAATTGGCTAAAACTTTCAGCACTTGGTTGATTAAGAGTGGAAAAGGGAGACATCGTTGTTTTCTTTCTGACATTAGGGAGGGAACTTTCAGCCTTTCCCAACTAAATATAATGTTAGCTGGAGGATTTTTTTTTTTTTTTTGCAGATACCCTTTATTAAGGTGAGAAAATTTCTACCTATTAGTGTTTCAAAGTTTTTTTTATAAAATCGAAAATAGTTGTTGAATTTTGTTGAGTTTTTTTTTTTCATCAATCAATAAAAGCACGGGAGATTTCTTCTTTCTTAAATCAGTTATTATGCTAGGTTACACTGATCGTATCAATCATGTGTCGCTGGAATAAAATCAAGTTGACCATGGTTTATAATTACTTTTATATATCGCTACTTCCTATTTCCTCCTATTTTCTTAGGGGCACTAATGTATCATGAGAGGTATTGTTTTATAATTTTTGTTTTGTGTGTGCTTTTTTAAAGATTTTTTTAGATTTTGTGTGTGCTGTGTTTTTTGATATCAAGGTAACACTACCTTTATAAAATGAATTGGAAGTGATTTTCCTGTTTTATTCTATGGAAAAGGATAGAATTGGAGTTAGTTCTTTTTTAAACATGTGGTGAAATTCTCAAAGGACCATCGTGCCTCAAAAACTTTTGAAAGCTTTGCTTGTTTGTTTTGTTTTGTTTTTATTTACTTAACAGTTTTGGGCTATTCCATATAATGTATTTCATTTTGGGTGAATTGTGGTAGTTTGTGTTTTCCAGCAAATGTAGGCATTTTGTCTAACTTGCCAAGTTCATGCATTTAGAGTCGTTCACAATATGCCCTCCCTTATCATTTGATATTTGTGTGCTTTGTGGTTCTAGTTCCCATTTTATATGTAATATGAATAATTTATGCTTTCTCTTCATTATTATTTTTAAATCAGTATTGCTAAAGTTTTGTCAGTTTGATTGTTCTTTTCCAGTAATTACTGATTTCCTCTACTATTTTGCTATCTTAAATTTCATTGATATTTGCTACCTTTATTTCTTTCCTTCAGCTATTTGGAGGTTTATTTTATTTTTCTGTTTCCATGTTCTTAAGATAAGAGCTTAGAGACTTTTCCTCTTTATAAAGTGGGGGTTTTTTGTTTGTTTGTTTTGCCTTTTCCAGACAGGGTCTTGCTATGCAGGACTTGAGCTCACTTTGCAGTCCAGGCAGGTCTCGAACTCATAACAATCCTCCTGCCTCAACCTCCCAACTGCTGGGTTTTCAGGCATGTGTTACCACACCCAGCTTCCTCTTTTTAAAATATATTTTATTAATGCCCATTAATTTTACAAAGTATCAGATTTGATATGGTATTTTCATTTATATAATATATGTAAAATATATGTAATATATATTTTGATCATCTCTATCCCTCTTATAACCCTACATAAGACCCTCTCCCTTATTCTTTCCTCTTATTTGATAATGACTTCCCTTTTACTTTCATGTCATCTTTTTTAGATTTCATGTATTAGAGGAAACTCACAATATTTAACTTTCCAAGTCTGGCTTATTTTGCTTAACATGATTATTTCCAATTCCATCCATTTTCCTGACAGTGGTATAATTCCATTTATCTTTGCAGATGAGAAGTATTGCACTGGGAAGATGTAACATTTTCTTCATCCAGTCCTCTGCTGATGAATGCTAAGTCTGGCTC